TGATCCACCACCTGGTTACCATGATTCAAACACCTCTCACTAGGCCCACTTCCAACACTGGAGGTCAAATTTTAACATGAGATTTGGCAGAAACAAAATATCCAAACCATGTCGTATGCCTTCAACAAATATGTTCTGGAAAAATACTTGTCGAAGAAATAAATAGATATTCTCCATTTACAAATATATCCATGATTCTTGATACTAAATTATTAACCCATTTATGGTACTAATCTAAATGGCATTATGTCTACATTTTTATACATATGCACAAACTTAGGCTTGTGTGTGTTTGTATATATACCTAGTTTAGTACTGTAACTCATCAAATTTAAGATAGTATTAATTATGTAACACACTATTATCTTATCTACCATTAAGAGAAAACAATCCTACCAATTACAGTGTGACCCAATGTTTCTTTATTTTTATAAAAATAAACTCAGGTAAGTAATAACTCATTTTAAAATTTATTGAATTTAGTTTTTTTCAGTGACATTAGGAAATGCTCCAACTGAAGATTAAAACCAAATACAGGTACTGGTAAGCAATGCGGTAATTAAAAAAATTTAAGCCCAAATAATTTTAAACCTTGTTGTGTATACATTACTAATTAAGATATATAAGAAAATAATTTTTCCTACAATGAGTTTTTAAAAAATTGTAATGCATTTTTTGCCTTCTTCATGAATATACAAAAACAATATAGTTGCCATTTCAAATACAGTCATTTTCTTATTTCATGATGAAAACCTTGACCTTTTGTATTTCTGAGATCCAATCTAATTTTGTACTTTAATTGTATATTGTGAAGTGTTCTCTTCTGCTTCCTGGTTGCATTAATTCATTTGCATTGTTATAAAGAAATAGCTAACACTGGGTAATTTATGAAGAAAAGAGGTTTATTTTGGCTCATGGTTCTGCAGGCTGTACAGGAAGCATGGTGCTGGCAGCTGCTCCTGGTGGGGGCCTTAGGGAACTTTCAATCATGGCAGAAGGTGAATGGGAGCCAGCATGTCACATGGTGAGGGAAGGAGCAAGAGAGAGGAGGAGGTGCCAGACTCCTTTAAATAACCAGCTCTCATGTGAACTGAATGAGAACTCACTTATTACTATGGGAAGTCACCATGCCACTTACGATCCACTCCCATGACCCAAACACCTCCACCTAGGCTCTACCTCCAGTGCTGAAGATCACATTTCAACATGTGGTTTGGAGGGGACAGATATCCTAACCATATCACTGGTATTCCCCAGAAGAAATGCAAAGTGGTGCTAAGTATTTTCCTCTAATTATTTTCACAAAACTCTTAAAGGAGGAATTTTGGTTTTGGGGGAGAGAATCAAATGCCTAGAATGCCTTGGGTGGCCATTGGCAGGAGACATGAAAATATGAAAGTGGAGAGGAAGAGGGAGAAGGAGAGGGAGAATGAAGGGAGAGGGGCAAAAGAAAGACAAAGAAAAGGAACAGAAAATAAAGATCATTAAGTGTTGGCTTCTTTTATCTTCCCTCACACAAAGATATTTCCAGTGCAGCAGTGATGTAATATAATGAAGTCCAGGCATAGTTTAGAATTTTAAAGTATTGTACAAAAATATATTGTTAAGAAATCCATGTTTTGGGTATTGCAACTGAATTGTTCTCTTAATGCTGCTTCTTGATCGATCACATGGTTTGCTGCAGTTACTCATTCTAAGAAAAGTCTTTTCTGTATTTGAATCGCAGGTTTCCTTCCTGTTTAATGAGTAACTTAATATCTCCATTTTGGGTATCTATTTAGGCATCTCAAACTTATTATACCCAATTCCTTATTTCTACTCTCCCCCTCGGCAACCTGCTTGTCCTGCCATCTTACCTATCCAGTGAATGGCAACTCCACGCTTAGATGAAAATGCTGGGTAGTCCTTGACTCCTCTGGCTCATTTCACATCCAATCTATCTTGATTGTTCTATCTTAGAAATATATCCAGAACCTGTCCACTTTTTACCATACCAGTAACACCAGCCAAATCCAAGTTTACCTGGGTCACTGCAGTGGCCGCAGGAGGTCTCCTGATTTCCACACTTGCCTTCATCCCACCCGCTCTCTCTCTCTCTTTTTTTTTCTCTGAGACAAGAGTCTCGCCCTGTCACCCAGGCTGGAGTGCAGTGGCGTGATCTTGGCTCACTGCAACCTCTGCCTCCTGGGCTCAAGCAATTCTCCCACCTCAGCCGGGTCCCAAGTAGCTGAGATTACAGGCGCCTGGCTATATACACCTGCTGTCAACACCTAAGTCAGGTTGTGTTACTCCTCTACTCAGAAAGAGCCTCCAATGGTTCCCTTCTCACTGACCATGACTTACAAGACTCCTCATGGTCTGGCCCTGTTACATCTTTGATCTCTTTTGCTATTCTCTCCCTCACTGACTGCTCATGTCCTACTGGTTCCCTTGCTGCTCTTTGAAGAAGCTCAGGACCCAGTGAGGCCTTCTCTGGCTACTCTTCTTAATTTTTGCAATACCACCTAGTATTCTCTATCCCTGTTTTCTGCAAAAGTATATAGATAAATTATTTATTTTGTTTATGTCTGTCTTCCCCAACTAGAATATAAATTTCACAAGGGCAAGAATTTTGTCTGTTTTGTTCACATAGCAATACTGGGCACACAGTGCGTGTTCAATAAATGTGCTGTTATCGCTGCTTCCTCTGTGCTAGGCATTGCTCTAGCCACACAGAGCTGAGGGTGGCAAGATGAGAAAGGGAGGGGGGTCATATGAGGAGATGACAGTGTTTTACAGACAAGCTGACATTTGAGCCAAGTGCGAATTTGTTAGGAGGAAAGACAATGCACTCCACTTAGAGGAAGCCATGCCTGTAATAGCATGAAAGTATAAAAACAACTCCAATTCAGAATGCACTGTTCATTCATTCATTCATTTATAGCATCTACTATGTTTTACTCACTACCTAGGCATTGGGGGAAAGGAATAAAGAAGAGCAACAAAAAGTCTCTGCCCTTAAGAAGCTTTTGAGCAGCAGTTAAACAAGGACAAAAATACATAATGCCATTTTGTGATAAGGTCTATGAAAGAAATAAGCAATGTGACATTAACAGCCACAAGCAGATGAAATGTGAGAGTTACATTAAATAGGTGGTCAAAGAAGGTGTCTTTGTGGCAGTGATCTCTGACTTAAGACCTGAAGGAGAAGGCACTAGCCACACAAAGATGCAGGGAGGGTGTGGTCTGGGTAAGAGGACAGTAAGTACAAAGTCCCTGAGGAATCCAGATGGAGGCCAAAGATACTCCAGTCCAGTGGGTCATGAGTGGTTAAGACCACGTTACATAGGTACACTGGGCCAGATCCTGGAGAATTTTACAGATCACGAGTAGTAGACCGTGTTTTGCTATCCGGTCCAACTCCCAGCGCACCACTTTTTGGAATGGAGCACTCCTTTTCCCAGCTGCCAAGAGCGTGGGCAATGCCAGTTTGAAGCTGAAGTCTCACTGGGAATTGCCCTTGGCTGAAGAGATCCTGGTGGTGGTCCAAGGTCACACTTGTTTTCCAGAGGGCAGCCCAGGAATGACTGGCAATGCTAAGATACAAAGGCTGGGCTCCTTTTGATTCAATTAAGGATGACGCTGCATAGTCACGCAGGTTCCCAAGCTCTGTGGGACTGGTGGCGGCTTTTGCTGCAACTGTTTTCTTCTCTGTCCAATCCTGCCTCCTTCATGCCCTCCACAGGAGTTGACCCTGAGAGCACTCCCTGATTAATCTCCTATATTCTGACCTTCATCTCAGGATCTGCTTCTTGGAAAAATTGAACTGCAACACCATGGTTTATGTTTTATGTACAAACTGAATCCGAATAAAGCTTTATGCAGAAGGGTGACATCTGATTTGCAATTTAGGAAGAGGACCCTGGTTCCTGATTGAAGAATGGATTATAACTGGGCAAGGGTGGAGGCCCTCCTATAACTTTCAAAAGCTGTGATGGGTTCAAGGGGAGATATGTTTTTTCCACTTTGAGCTGTTTCTCAGGATATTACGTGCTATGTTGTTTATGCTGGCTGGAAGGATATGCAAGTCCAGCCCTAACACTGGAGAAAAGATTGTTCAAAAGCAGAAGACTATGATTTCACTCATCGGTCCGGGCAGGACTATGAATGTCTTAGATGAACTGCTCTCCAAGACTAGATAAGTGGATGTTGGAGAATGTTCTAATATCGGGCCACTGTTTTTTTTGTTTTTTTTTAGATGGAGTTTCACTGTTTAGCCCAAGCTGGGGTGCAATGGTGCGATCTTGGCTCACTGCCATCTCCATCTCCCAGGTTCAAGTGATTCTCCTGCCTCAGCATCCCAAATAGCTGGGATTACAGACCTGTGCCACCATGCCTGGCTAATTTTGTATTTTTTTTAGTAGAGACAAGGTTTCTGACCATGTTGGCCAGGTTGGTCTTGAACTCCTTACCTCAGGTGATTTACCCACCCAGGCCTCCCAAAGTGCTGGGATGACAGGCATGAGCCACTCACCCAGTCTATTTTAATGTTATTGTTCTATTGGGTCTGGGGGAAACCATAAAAGTGGTTGAGAAGGGTGGACATTCATACTACTAATCATATGTGAAAGGAAGCGATTTCTGGATAAGGAAATGGGGCCCTCCATAGCAGGTCTAAGACCAAGGAAGCGAGTTGGGCTTCCTCAAGGCAGTTCACAACCCAGAGGGTTGCAGCCAGCCTGAGGTCAACCTAACCCAATTTTCCTCCTATCCTCTGAAGCCACAGGGAAAGAAAGCCCTGACCCATGCAGTCAAGAGAGGTCAACATCCTAAGCAGAGAACAAAGGTAGAAAAGGGTGGAGAGTGAATGTGGAGAGGCCAATGATGCATGCAGATGAAAGTTTGTCTGTGTCAAAATTCACGTTTCTCATAGACGACGGGTTGATGGGTGCAGCAAACCACCATGACACGTGTCTACCTATGTAACAAACCTGCATGTTCTGCACGTGTACCCCAGAACTTAAAGTATAATAAAAAATATTTTTGAAAAAGAAATTCATGTTTCTCGAACTTTAACATGCATAAAAATTACCTGAATGTTTTGTTAAAATGCAGACTGTTTAGGAAGACTGGGATGGGACCTGAGATTTCGAATTGCTCTCCAACTCCCAGGTGATGCTGAGGCTGCTGCTGCATGAACCACATTTGGAGCTGCAAGGTTACTGTTCCCTCCTGTTATCTCAGGACCTTAAATGAAGTGTTGTCCCAAAAGTTACAGCCTGGCTTCATCTGTGTCAAGGAAATCTCTCTTATACACCGGACACTCAAGGAAAAGGGAGGGAGTGCATCCATTACACTTTTCCCTTCCCTCCTCAACCAAGAGTGGCATGGAAATAGCAGCATTAGCCACAGACAGGTCGCAGTTCTAGAAGAGTAAACGGCAACTGGCATTTGGCCTAAGTGGCCAGTGGACAGAGTGGAGATTGATGGTCTGAGCCCGTGGAAGCAGAGATTAACTGACTCAGGAAAGCACATGAAATACCACCACCTTTGAGGATTCCTGGGGAAGGGGACTGTGGCCCAGCTAATTTGATAAATGGAGTCTTGAAGTTGTTGTAAATAATAGGAAAATGACCTTCCTTATTTATGTTTGCAGGCTAGGGAAAACTGGACTTACAGGGAATGAATCAAGTTGGATAGTTGAAGCTCAAAAACCATTGCAAAATACCTTTGTGCTTAGCTTTGTGGCTGCTTCACTGTGAATAGCTGCCTTTCACAGTTGTTTGTATTTAGTCCATGATATTGAGAACAGACAATCCTAAATGGGAGAGGACCTGTCCAATAGAATCCTATGGATCCATGAATCAAAAAAGCACAAAAATACATTTTTGACTGCAAGCAGGGTGCCTCAGCTTTTGCTACATGGTATTCTTACAAAAGTCATTGAAAGCAGAGGAATGGTAAGGAATGAATCATCTTTTCATCTCCTGCTGTGGTGTAACCAGTACTTACCTTCTTCCACCCACTGGCGTTCCTGAATTGGTAAGGCAAAATGTTAACAAGTTGACTTTGAGATGGATGAATCAGCGGGGAAACTGTTGAATGAGCGAATCAATGAAGTGAAAAGTGAAATATAGGGGTTTGTCAGCACCATCCAGGCAGCAGATGGATGGAATTTAAGAGGGGATGGCAGTGAGGACCGCCTGCACATTTTTCTTTTTCTCAGTATTAATAATTGAGAGTAGCTTAATCTTCAAGTTCCCTCTCCAAGAGCTACATCAAGTGGGGAGTACTTTTTAACTTTCTCATCTGTAGAAACAATGATTTTAATCAAATTATTCAGAGTTAAATTCTGTAGGCCCTAAGCCCTGGACAGTGATGAAGGCCATGGTCTATCAGGAAAGGTAGGAGTTGGCTGGATTAGGGGTAGGGAATTCTATACGAAAGGTACAAATGTGAATGCAAATGTTACTACTGATCGCAAATGCTTACGCAGCATTTGTTATGTGCCAAGCACTCTTCTAAGGGCTGTACACGAGCAAGCCCAGGGTCAAAGCCACATCCTCCCAGGAGCTTTGAAGGTCCCCAAATGCAAAGGCGGCAGGGGTGAAGAATGGGGAAACTTGATTTACAGTATTTTTATTTTCTTTTCTGCGTATTCTGGCAACGTACCTCACTAATCACATAGAGGTGAAATTGAAAACAAATGAGTTTATGCAGTCCACATTCAGTAAAGGTAGACTGCAAAAGGAAGAAGGGAAAAGTTTTTATTTCTTTTGTGGAGCTTGGTGACAAATTCTTTTGAGCCTTACACTAACTCCATGATGTGGTCTGATATGATCCTCTCTATTCTACAATTGCTTCCACTCCCTCTCCCTTCCCCTCAACCAGTTTCTTCAAGCACAGCTGAAATCTAGGAATGAACATGTTGATACGCCTAATCCTGGGCCCTCGTGGGAATATTCATTAAGCATAACCTTACCCTTTGCCAACTGCTAGATAAATCAGTTTCATCAGATGGTGCACACTGGAGCCAGATAACTTCTAAAGACCTTTGCAAATCTGTTTCAGAATGCGTGACCCGTTCTATCCTTCCTCTCATAGAAACGCCAACTCATCCATGCCCTCTGTGCGGTCTCAGCCTGCTGAAATCACCTGCACCCCATGGGAACTGTAGCCGTATCTTCAGTCCTGGGAGCCTCCGCATGCCCTGTCACAGGAGTAAATGAGGAGTAAGGTGAGGGAGGGCACTAAAGAGAGGATAACTAATCAATCAATCTATTATCAATTTTGACCAAGCCTCTCTGGTTGTACTTAGCTCCTCTGAGGTTAGGAGACATGAAGAAGGTGAAGTTTTAGTTTTCATTTTGATTGTTTTAGAAAATACTGAGCAAAATGGCAAGCACATCCTGGTGACCTTTGGGAGCTCTTTCTACGTGGAGGGGCCCAGGGGCAGCAGTGTCTGAGGACTGTTAGGTGGAACCTACAATTCTGCCTACGTCCGCCTACATCTGATCTATATATTTAGTAATGATTCTGAGTCAGGAAGTTAGGAAAGTTTTCATGCACTTCATTTTTATCTGTATTTGGCTAAGTTTGTGAGTTGCTATGAGGAAATAAACAAACAAAAGCAGCTCTCCCTCTCCTCTGCCCCCACGCACCACTCCATGCAGGACAAGGGCTCCAGGCTGATGACGGTGGCTCTGTCTCCCTGACTTACTTCATCCTCTCCTACAGCCCTTTCTGCTTGGAAGCTCAGGGGCTGAGCAGAGGCCCCAGGGTTGTGTCACTGTGGAGAAGAAGGCTGCGAGATTGCAGTGTTAGCACTGACTCCCTGTCCCCGCACCCTGGCTGCCTTGTTCTTGACCCCTGCCTGCAGCCTTAGCCCTGTTCCAGACTCTGGGTCCAGACCTGACCTTTGTCAGAAAACTGAGGTGTCCAGCAGCATGGGCCACACACTGGTGAGCTGCCCTGCTCTGACCTCGTGCTCCAGTTCTGGTAACTGGGCTTCAGTTTTGACCTGTGATCCCACTGGGTAGTGTTTTGTCACCCTGAACTTGTGTCCCTGCCCTGAGTTTCAGTTTATCTAAGCCTGAGGTCATTCCTCTGAACTTTAGCTCCTTAGCTAAACTCTGCTCATACCTGTCCCCTATTTTGACCATCTGCTGGGCAGCCTGTTTAATGCTTTCTCCTTGGTGCTCAGCTGCTGGTCCATCATGGCTCTGCTTCCCTGAGGTTAACTCTCCCCAAATTTTGACCTTTGGGATCTACTCTGATTATTTGGTAACTGTACCTCTATTTTACTGAGAATTCTCCAGGGTTACCACTGAATGACCTTGCCTTTGGAGATTTCTTTAAAAAAAAAAAAAAAAAAAAGAAGTTGACTGCCGCTGCTATGTGTTAATTGAGATTGAGATTCATTTGATTAAAGGGGGAGAAACAGACTTTGTCCAGTTTAAGTCAAAAGAAAAATTTATTGAGAAGACCTGAGTTTGAAAACCAAACCTCAGCAGGGTAAGAAGTAGGGAGGCTCCACAGACCTTAACTGTGGGAATATCTGGACTTTCCCTTTAGGATGCTCTGTGGCTCAGCTCCAGGACCCTCAGGGGCCGGTCCTCTGAACGCAGATGTCCACATTTCCAGGAGAGACAATATGATTAGCCCAGCTTCATTTAGGCATTCAGCCCTGAAGAAAGTAGCCCTGGCTCATGTCACCAAGTAAAGACATGACCTCTGGAACTCACCTCAGTGAATCAGGGCAAGTCCCTGGGAAGGGGCCAGGGATGTGAACTGAGAAATTCACTCCAAGAGTCACACCAGACGTGATCATGCTGGCCTCATATGACACGCCTCTCCTAGCATGCCAGCCCAGCATGACCTTAGTTCCCTCCAGCACAGCTGAAGCATTTTTAAAGGCCCTCACAGAAGGCTAGATTTTTAACAAAAGCATCAAGTAAAAGAGGAACATAAAATGAGAAATACGCTTTGTAAAGTAAGATGTGTTAGTCTTCAGCTTGAGATATCTTGCCAGATGCTTTCTTACCTTCTTTGGGGCTGGGTTTGTGTGTCCAAAGCCTTCTTTAAGCTTTGCTCCCAAGCCAGCTGAACCAACTCAAAGTTCAGAGGGAGATAGAAAGAAAGGCTAGGAGTTCTGTCCTATCTGGCTAAAACCTGCCTTCAGGGTGCCATTTTCCCTGCCTCCTCCACAGATAAGTGTGACACTGGAACTAGCCTCTCTTTTCAGGAGTAAACCTCTTCCCTTTCTACAGGAGTATGGTCTGGCCTGATGTTCTCAAAAAAATACTCTATCAGGGCTGGGTGGGGCGGCTCACATCTGTAATCACAGCACTCTGGGAGGATGAGGCGGGAAGATTGCTTGAGCCCAGGAGTTTGAGACCAGTCTGGGCAACATATGGAGATCCTGGCTCTACAAAAGTGAAAAAATATTAGCTAGATGTAGTGGCATGTGCCTGTAGTCCCAGCCACCTGGGAGGCTAAGGTGGGAGGATTGTGTGAGCCCAGGAGTTCAAGGCTGCAGTGAGCTGTGATTGCACCATTTCATTCCAGTCTGGATGATAGAGCTAGACTCTGTCTCCGAAAATAAAAATAAAAACTAAAGCTCCATGCAGCCATTGAAAACATATTTTTTATATATGTGCTTTCAGTCCTGGTCATCTCAGTGTGGCTTATTGCCATGACTACTTCGTTACAATCTGATTCAGAGTCAACACACACTGACTACATGTGGGTGATCTGCCAGGTTCCATGGGTAGGCATTTATACCTGTGTTATTTAATTCATTATTTAACACAAGTCACATAAAATTCTCTTGGGAAAAGTGTGGTCACCAAATCTGTTTGGTTAACACGGACTCATCTGCCTTTCTTTTGTAGGCCCAGAATACTCAGTACCTCTTAATGACCCTCAGACGATGTAGGAAGGAGATTGGTTCACCTTTTAAGCCAGAATTTCTCACGTTTAATGGTTAGTGTAATCCTTTTCTGTCTAGTTATATTTTTGCTGAACTGGCTTTCAATGGAACACTTTTAAGGCAATGAGAATTTAATTTAATGTTCCCAGCATTTGTATGAAGAAGGTGCCGTTAGTCTCATTTCATGGATGGGAAGACAGAGCCCCCCGACCTCAGTGTCCTCGTATAGCTTGACCAAGTTCATTGGGTGGCTCTGTGGAACTCTGATCTAGGTCCTCTGAGTCCAAATCTATGCCTTTTTCTGCTGTGTCTGGATCTCCACCAGCTTTGAGACTTGCCAAATTCTCCTATGTGCCAGATCTGCATGCTAATTATGGTTCATGCTTTTGTTTCACCATGAAACCCCAGGTTTGGGTTGCAAATCCCTAACCAGTCAGAGAGGAAGCACGAAAAGGTGACCTCCCTGGGTAACTTCCAAGGCCACATACAAACTCCTCTTCTGTTTCCTCTCCTGCTGCCAACTCCACACACCTCCAATTGTCTCCATTCTTCATTCTAACTTGGCAGGCGATGCACTACAGGAGGCCTGTTTCTAATATGGTACCTCACACCTCCTGGTACCCCACAACATGTGTCAGCTTCCTCTCCCCTTGAGTGTTGACTAGACCAAGTAACTCACTTCTAACAAATAGACTATGGCAAACCTGTTGGGCTGTCCCCTCCCAGGTTAGATTAGGTACTAGTCAGGAACTTCCAGAGAAACAGAACATGTAATATACGGCATTCAATTATAGAGGTTGGCAAGTCTCAAGATCCCCAAGCTCTGCAGGTGGAGTCTACAAGCTGGAGACCCAGAAGCTGATGGTGTAGCTTTCATCCAAACGCTAGCAGGCTCGAGACCCTGGAAGAGCCAGTGTTTCAGTGTGAGACCAAATGAAGGAAACAGCTGATATCCCATTACAAAGGCAGTCAGGCAGGAGGAGCTCCTTCTTGGTTGAGTGAGGGTCAGTCCTTTTCTTCTATTCAAGTTCTCAACTGATTGGGTGAGGTCCATCCATTTTGAGGAGGGCAATCTGCTCTACTCAGCCTACCAATTTCAATGTTCATTTCATCCTCACAGAGACACCCAGCATAATGCTTAACCAAATATCTGGGTGACCAAGTAAGCTGACACAAAAAATTAGCCATCACAGGTTTCAAAAATCTTCTGTGACTTCTTCTGTCTTGCTCCCACTCTCTCTGGTCCTTTCTGCTTGCTTGCTCTGCTGAAGCAAGCTGCCAGGTTGTGGGCTGTCTTATAGAGAGCCCCACATAGCAAGGAACTGAGGTAGCTTCCAGGCAACAGCCAGCAAGGAGCAGAGACCCTGAGTCCAACAGCTGGTGAGGAACTTCGTCCTACTAATAGCCATGTGAGTGAGTTTGGAGGCAAGTTTCTTTCCTGTCTGTTGAGCCTTGAGATGACTGCGACCCTGGTTGACATCTTAATTATAACCTGTTGGATCCTAAAGCAGGGAACCCAGCTAAGCCATGTCTGGATTCCTGGTCTATAGAAACCATGAGATAATAAATGTTATTTTAACACATTTCATTTTGGGGTGATTTTTTTTCAGCCCTAGGTAACGAACACATCTCCAAACTTTTACTAGAAAGGATACCCTCATAGCTGAACAAATTCTACCTATGACATTTAGACAGTACAGTTTAGGGAAGAATACTTACTGAAAAAAGTGAGACAAGTTCACAGGAAACTGAAACACAACTTTTCGGAATATTCTGTATCGGCTATCTTGCAATGTGCCCTTTCTTTCTCCACCCACCACTTCCCCAGAGTCATGGTACCTTTTGCTTGTGCCCTGCCCAATCCCACACAGCATAAATCAGTCAGCATCAAAGCAGCATATCTAGAGACACAGTCTATGATTCTTTGTCGGAAATGAGGTGATAATTGATTTGTTTCTGTCTTCAAGGACTATAATAGGTGAAGTGAATGTGGCTTTTTTGTTCCCTTTGTGAATCTTGATTACAAAATTATACTTTTCTGCAATCACACAAAGGAGCAGAGCATAAGTTTGGCGCTATGGACACCCGTTTTTTCATGGACCCCTTACCCAAATGTCCTGGAGCCTCTGTTTCTTTGTTTCTTCATCTGTAAATTGAAGTAATGAGTCCTCATAGGATTTATGGGAGTATGAGATACTGTATCAAAAGGATTAAATGAGATTACATGTATAGCAAAGGGCTTGTGCATAGTAATTCGTTTAAAAAAGAAAGTTGTGGCCAGGTGCAGTGGCTCATGCCTATAATCCCAGCACTTTGAGGAGCCAAGGCAGGAGGATCCCTTGAGCTCAGGAGTTCTAGGTTACTGTGAGCTATGATCATGCCACTGTGCTGCAGCGTGGATGACAGAGCAAGACCTTATCTCTGAAAAAAATTAAAAAGTAGCACAATAGCAGAGAATGAGTCTACCTTAATCTTTAGATGCAGAAATAAAAATGTTGTAGCTTAAAAATTTGCTGGTAAAAAAACATTGATGGCCAAAGTCAATGATTTGCTCTAAGTAATTAGAGTTAGAAAGATTGCATTACTTATAAAAGTGAAGTCAAAGATCAAGAGACAAATATAGTAGAGAACAGTGGGTCAGCCAGTTGTGCAGCTGGGCTAAACCTCAGGTCCCAAGAACCTGCGTGGCTTAAGCAGTTCTCTAAAACTGGATTGTAGCATTGTAGTTTCTGCCTGGGGCACTGCTTGTTCAATGGGTCAAACATTGCTTTGCAAGCAAATTTCCTTTGCCAGTAAGTGTAAGCTCAGGCCCCAGTCTATATAATGTAAAAGGTTGAGGCCTGGGGCACTCTCTGTGAATGAGTATTTTATTTAGGTCTATTTACCCATTGGTATTGTAGCACATCAATATTGCTGGGCTGAGATACTGGGATGCCCATTTAGGGAAAGAATGTGCACAAGATACAATAATATGGAGTGTCTGCCATGTGCCAGGCACTAGAGGACACACACAGCATATTGAGACTTCCTATGGTTGCAATGCAAAGTATCCAGGATCCCCACGGTTATTGCACACTGTAGGGTCCAGCATCTGAGTGCCTCTGCTGTAAAAAGCAGATTTGTCATTTTTTGCACTCTCCACTTCCAGGTGGTTGTTGTTGCCATGTTAGGGGTCCCCTTCATCTGCTCACAAGTTCTAAGAAGCAGACAAAGCCTAAGGTGACTCCATTGGCAATAGCTCTGCAGACACTGAGGAGGGGAGGAGGTGCTTCCAGGGGAAGGAAGGCCAAATGGTTGACTATGAAAAGTCCTCACAAGGTTGTTTAAGGTTAATTCTTGCAAGCACAAAAATAAAATATGAGGATACATAGAAAAGATCAGACTTGCAGAGACATTTGCATAATTAAGTTTGCATGCAGCTAATAGAAAAACAGGCTACTAGTTTATTAACCTTTGGGACAGGATGTATTCCAAGAGACTAGAGTATTTGTATCTCAGTTCCTGATGGTTTCCACTACCACCATTACTTTCTCTATATCAAGACACCTGGGAAGCCAGGTGAGTATATCTAATATTCATTGGGTAATGAGACTATCTGGAGTAAGATTTCATCCAGACCATGGGGAGACCTTATGAAATACTCTTGCCTCTGAGCTGAGTATACCTCTCTAAGGGCAAGCACACCTCAGTGCCCTGATTAAGGATTTCTGGTTTTTGGGTGCACTGGCCTCCTGGTCAGTGAACAATATTGCATGCAGATCTTTGTATGAGTTTTGTACATATGTCTTCATATATATCTTTGTATGTCCAACTTAGTTGGACACACATTGCTAAATTTGCTTCTTAGTACCTGGGTTTTTTTTTTTTTTTTTTTTTTTTTTTTTTGAGACGGAGTCTCGCTCTGCCGCCCAGGCTGGAGTGCAGTGGCCGGATCTCAGCTCACTGCAAGCTCCGCCTCCCAGGTTCACACCATTCTCCTGTCTCAGCCTCCCGAGTAGCTGGGACTACAGGCGCCTGCCACCTTGCCTGGCTAGTTTTTTTGTATTTTTTAGTAGAGAAGGGGTTTCACCGTGTTAGCCAGGATGGTCTCGATCTCCTGACCTCGTGATCCGCCCATCTCGGCCTCCCAGTACCTGGGTTTTCTATGTTGCCATTGCCTTTCTGTTTACTCATTCTTTCTTTGGAAGGATTAGCTATAGTGGGTCTACTCATAATAGACAGTAACTTAAATAGTTTAAGAAGGTGCATGAAAGGAGTCAAGCCGAATCATTCCAGATTTCATGGTGATGTTGCGAAGAAGAGAAGAGGAGGTGCAGCCTTTTGGGGAAGTACTTATTGTTAGAAATAGAAAGATGAGACAGAGATTTTGCTATTATCTCAGGAAGCAGAACCCTTTTCTAAGGAAGTGCCCCAGAATTTGCAGGGCTTTTCTCCCTTAGTAGGGAGGCAAAGAGTAGCAGCCTGTTCTTTGCCACTGCCCTTCTGATGTCTCCTGGATCAATATGGAGTTGCAATTCTCCCTAGGGGAGAATGCCATACACCAGTGGCATTATGAATAAGCATCAAGATGACAGTGAATATGTGGGAGTGGTGGGCAAGAAGAAAAGGGGCCCTTGTTCTGTTTTCTTGAGCTACATAATCCTTGAGGTTTATGATATGTAGATATGGTTGAGGGAGTATAGGCAAAAGTAGAGAAGGGTTGAATGGGAAAATGATTGTAGCTGGATTCTCTACCAACTGGCAGGTATGGGGTGAGCCAATTACATATTGATTTAGAAAATGAAGGAACGTGATATGTCTTGTACCTGAGTGCCAAGGAGATTTCTTCTGAGGATCTTTGCTGTTAATGCCCAAGACCCACTTGGGTCGATGCAGGAGGTTTGTGTACAGCTGTGCCTATTTGCTAGACTACTAGTCTACTAGGACTGTACGTTAGCTCTTTAAGCCCTCTTCCTTCTCCCACTAGCTCATCTCCAATATGAGCCAGATCATGTCCCATTGCATTCCCCTACCTTTAAGGGAAAAGGAAAAAGCCGGTAGATACTACCTATGGAATGCCCATTGGTTTTTCTTTAAGGTGGTAGTTCTCAACTCTGGCTGCAAGTTAGAATCACTTGGGAAGATTTTGGAAAAAATGATTATGCTCAGGCCCAACCTGTAGCCAATGAATCAGAATCTCCAGAGGTGGAATCCAAGTGTGAAAGTTTTTTTGAAAGTTCTCTATATAATTTTAACATATAGCCAGTGACAGTGGCTGATCTGGGACCCCAAAGTAGAGCATAGTAATGTAATTCAGAACTGGAGGCTTTGCTAGGATAGTTAAATATCACTAAGCTGAGAAACAGACTCTCTTTTAAAGTCTTGATATTATAATAACATTCTAAGAACATGATGCATGGATACAGTCACTTAACCCTTCAGAGGAAAGGCCAGCTGATGAGTGAAGGGCTTGAGTGTGACTTTCACCAGGGAAAGTGCTGGAAGTTTGGAGCCTTTTGGAATGTGCTTACTGCTTGAGATAATGTCTGAAGGCTGAGACCGATATGAATTATTTAGACCGTTAGGGAGATTCTTTACAATGGAATCCATTTTTCTTATCTTTTCTTTGCATAGTCAGACTGAAATGGTCAAACCTCTGGAGTGAAACTGACTTTACCAACAGCAGCAAAGAGAAAGTTCTGATGTTCACTACCGGGTTGCTGATAAAACCTAAAATTGATTGAGATGCCCCTTGGGAGGTCTCAAGGAAACTTAAATCCTGTTGCTATAAAGTGTTATAATAATTTCCTTTGTATGTTATATTCATGAGATGTGTGATATGCATTTAATGAGAACTCAGACAAGAGGGTAGAAGCTTGGTCTCTTTAAAGCACTGTAGAGTAAAGATTCAGAGGTTGTATTGCAAGTTCACATTTTCTTTTTTTCTCGGGAGGTTTTGGCTTTCTGGCACAAAGAAGTGTCAGGTCTAAGAGGTTATCTGTTTTTGGTGTGACTGAAGTGACCATATGTCCTGATTTGCCCCAAAGGGTTTCAGTTTACACCTGTTGTCTTAATCATTGGTAGCCCACCTTTTCACTTTCTAAAGTGTCCTGGTTTAGATGATAAATCACATGGTCACCTTTGTCATCCTATAGTGTACCTCTGGACTGGGAAGAAGAGACCTGTGTTCTAGCACGATTTCTTCCACTAACTAGCTCAACAAAGGGGTATTTAACCCAGGGATCCAGGGACTACCCTCCTGGCCAGTGAACAACATTGCATGCTTTTGTATGAATTTTGTATATGTGTCTTCATATATATCTTTGTATGTATATTTTTTTCTGGGGAGAGTTTTTGTAGCTGTCATCATATTTTCAAGGGGTTTTATGACCCCCAAATGGTAAGGAACCACATTGGATGAACTCCGCAGACTTATTAATCTCCAGAATTCTGTGCTTCTGTGGTTATGATGCTTCTAAAATAGAACTTGGGAGTCAGTTAAAATATTGTTTGAGAATATCTCCACAGTGAGAACTGTATCATAATTGATTTTCCTTGTACCAAACAAATAAATGGAATCTTATTTTTAGAGACAGGCAGCCCA